TTTTTGTTATAAAAGTTACATCACTACTGACATTTCTGCACTTCTAGTCGAAATTATGTTATTTTCATTTATAAAATTTGAGAGGATTAAATAACTAGTACTTTAGCAACTTCAGTGGCCAAATAAAAGATCTTAACATACCTCCTCCATTTAATACTTATAAATTATGCTGAGTACTACACTTGAAAATCAGCTACTGAACAAAACTTAATACAGGCAATGAAAAAAGGCTTACAACAAAAGAAAAAAAGACTAGTAATTAAGTACAGTAAATGACAGACAGTGTCCCTGAATATTCATTACATGATTTTCATTTTATAAATGCTAATAAACTAGAATGAATGTGTCATTATTGAGCTTCAGTAAGTTTAAACACATCTGATTTGTAGTTTTCTCCCATACTCTTTTCACGTTGCATCTCTGCGAGTGTTTCCTCTTCTTGCTCTCTCTCTTTGTCATACTTACTGCCATCATGAATATTTGCTAAGCGTACAGGATATCTGTATGGATGTAGATGGAAAACAAAAGTTTCCCAGTTTACTTTATCTAGTCCAATTTGTTTGATTTCAGACATTTTTTTCTCTATATAATTGACCGGATCATCTGGTCTCTCAATCATAAGACAGCTAAGTAGACTTTCAAACATCTGTGGTATTTTGTGTGCCGCTAAGTATTGCTTAGCCTGTTCTCTTGTACTTGCAGACATTTTTACTATGTTTTTAATTGTTTTTGGCACTGGTACAATTTTGTTGTTGCTATTTTTTGTTTTTCTATTTCTTTCTATTCTACAAAGTAAAGTAAAGATATTATCATCAATGCTATCAAACGGTTTTGAATTATTGAATCTTATTAAAAGCTCAATATTATAGATATTTGATTTTAAATAGCAGTTTTGATTTGTTAAAGCACACATATTATATATATACATGTACATTGTATTTTTAATTTTAGCATATCTTCACACTATGTAAAAATCCTTGTTAATATATGTTAACTTGTAAGTCACATGTAAGTGTAAAAACTGTATCTAAATTGGGAGCTCTCCCATATAAAACAGAGGATCATACATACATGTATACAGAACAGAACATGTATATATCATTTGCAAAACATTAACTAAAAATAATTAATAAGGATCTGTATTTTAAAAAGATTGGCACAGAACCAATTTTGGATTTTATAAATTTATGTTTTTGTTTCCTTTAAGGTAGATTCATGGTATACCGCCATCTTGGATTGTACAATCTCAGTACAAAATTGGTCTAGTTATTTGCCCAAATCTGCAAATTTGGAGACAGATTTGCAGTTCAATGGTTAGATTGTTTATTTATATAAAGAAAACTTGGTGATTTATTGTATTATTCAAAATATTTAAACAAATATCAAATTTTGTGTTTTTAGAATCATTTTTTTCAAATAAGCCATTTAAGGGGAGATAAATCTTTTAGTAAAAAATATATACTGGACTGATAGGGAATTTTTTTATTTTTACTTGTAGCAAGAAAACAAGTTCGGTGACACCATATTTTCTTTTTATTTTTTTAAAACATATTATAAAACCTATCTTCTTACAATTTATTTTAAAATTCTATCTCATAGAATTTTTTTTATGCACACAAATGTGTTTTTTCATGAACAATCTAACCAAATTTAGGCAATTTTCAACGACTCATAGCTTGGAAAATAGCACGGTGACCCATACTTTTTATTATATTTTTGAAAAAAGCATAGTAAAATCTTCCTTTTGGCAAAGTATAAGAAAATTCTATCTCAAAAAGTATATACTTATGATCTACCTTAAGTCTATCATGTTTATGGAAAAAAGTTAATATTTTTTATATTTGGTGATTAGTATATGCTATGAGACTTCATTAATACATGTAGATTGGTATTCAATGAGAATAAATTTTAATAACTGTTGATTTGATATTTAGAAATCTATTCAAACAATATTACAATGGTCCCCATGATTGTTTTAATTACTAGCTTTGGTGGTTTGATGATTATATAGTAAACACTTTGAAAACTTTAAAGTAAAACTTAAAAATTAGGCCGTTGGTTTTCTCAATTGCATTGTTTCATATTTTTCATGTCAGGGCCTTTTATAGCCAACTATACGGCATGGGGTTTTCTCATTGTTGAAGGCCATACAGTTGCCTATAACTGCTTACATCCACTTCATTTGAACTTTGGTGGATAGTTGTCTCATTGGCAATCATACCACATCTCCTTATTTTTATAGTAAGCATGGAATTAGAACAAGAGTGCACATGCTGAAATGTCTCGCCTACTATACTGACCATTGATTTTATGATGATAGTCCTACATGTATATAAAGTTTTACTACAAGTATCACATTAATATTTATGATCCAATAAAATGAGGTCAAGGTCAGATAAACCAAGATAGAAATACATGTACACCTTTAATATAATCATTCGATACACAGAATATAGATAACCTATTGCTTACAGTATAAAAGAAACAGACCAAACCATGGAAAATCTATATTGACCAATGAACCATGAAAATGATGTCAAGGTCAGATGTACCCTGCCACAGACAGACATGTACACCCTAAAATCATTCCATGCATCAAATATAGTTGACCTATTGTTTATAGTATCTAAGAAACAAAGTTAACCAGGAAAACTGAACATTGACCAATGAACCATGAAAATGAGGTGAAGGTCAGATGATACCTGCCAGACAGACATATACACCTTACAATCATTCCATACACCAAATATAGTTGACCTATTGCTTAGAGTTTAAGAAAAACAGACAAAAACACAAAAACTTAACATAAGCAATGATAAGTGAAAATGCGGTTCAGGTCAAATAAAACCTGCCAAACTGACATGTACATCGTAAAATATTTCCATACACCAAATATAGTTGACCTACATTGTATTGCATACAGTATTAGAAAAACACACCAAAACATAAAAACTTAACATTGAGCAATGAACCATGATGAGGTCAAGGTCAAATAAAACCTGCCAGACTGACATGTACATCGTAAAATATTTCCATATACCAAATATAGTTGACCTACTGCATACAGTATTAGAAAAACAGACAAAAACACAAAAACTTAACATTGAGCAATGAACCGTGAAAATGAGGTCAAGGTCAAATAAAACCTGCCAGACTGCCATGTATGTTGATGATCAAATTAATGTACCAAGAAAGATAAACATCGTAAAATATTTCCATACACCAAATATATTTAACTTATTGCATACAGTATTAGAAAAAGAGACCAAAACACAAAAACTTAACATTGAGCAATGAACCATGAAAATGAGGTCAAGATCAGATGACACCTGCCAGTTGGACATGTACACCTTACAATCATTACATACACCAAATATAGTAGACCTATTGCTTATAGTATCTGAGATATGGACTTGACCACGAAAACTTAACCTTGTTCACTGATCCATGAAATGAGGTCGAGGTCAAGTGAAAACTGTCTGACAGGCATGAGAACCTTGCAAGGTACGTACATACCAAATATAGTTATCTTATTACTCATAATAAGAGAGAAATTAACATTACAAAAAATCTCTATCACTATCCCTATGTCGAGTTTTCTGCAACAAAAGTTGCAGGCTTGCCAAATACCAGTGGAGGTAGGAATTGTTAAACAAGAAAGCAATGCTGCATTTAATGTAACAAGGCAGACAGCCAATGAGACAACAATCAACCTAAGACTAAAGCACCATTAATCATGTTCCAGATATTCAGAATCCACAGAATCAATCAGAAGTTCAATAAAAGAAAACAGAACTGCATTCTGAACACGTTCCAAGTGAATCGAAAAAATAGGACTCTGGAGGTGTAGACAGAATTCAAAATGATGGAGAAGGGAATTAAAGGTAAAGATACAATAATCTTTATGTAATTAGCTTTCAGTAAAATGAAAACTGCAATTGATAATCAGTTCAATCGAGGATTTGTATAGTACTAATAAAACTATACAAATCATCAGTTCAATATATATCAATGTACTTGATTATATAATTTAATTTTAATGGAAATATGCAATCAAACTCTATTTTTCTGTCAGACTAACACTTTATAGTGGCTGTCAGATGTCTTTTTTACTAATGATAATTACATGTACAACAACTTTGAAGTCAGAAATTTTACTTGGAAATTAAACATGACTTGTAATGTTTTGTTGTAGGAAAGGCCAATAGATGCAGCGTATATGCAATCAGTTCAAAATAATGATAAGGGGGAAGAACCTTTTAGAATGTGGAAATTAGCGGTCTGGCCTTGGCGAATAAGTATACATGATCTTCCATTAGGTCTCTTTGCCGGAAAAAATTGACGTTGGAAAGCAAATATCTTTACGTCACAATGTCCTATGACGCAGTTTATTCATAAAACAAGAATTGGAATCTCGTGCATTAGGATGAACAAACCCAGAATGGCCAGATGCATAATATTCTTATAACAAAAACTTGACAGAAGTTTTTGACAGGGCTGATTTACATGTTATCTAAAAAGAAACAACTATAACGTGGTAAAATACATTGAATGATGGAATAAATGAAACTGCTTTGTCTCTTTGTTCCTGAAGAAATGACAACTGGACAAAGATCATTGTTTTGTTCCTTTGTCGGCTTTGATTTTTTAAATTCTTACTTGGACAATGTCACTTGTTACAGGTTATTTTGTCGAAATGTTGAAATCAATTGTTTTCAAAATCAATATTTTACCGTTATATATGTCGTCAATCCATATGAAATAAGTATTTTCACATATTTTTGTGAAAGATTAAAGTAGTCTGTTTCCTTGGCAGCCTTACACAAATACAAGCAGAGTTGCACATTTATATATTTTCGTATCACTTTGTTCCACCTAAGACAATATTTTGTTGAATGAAAAAATTATATTAGAATGAAAATATTTCAACTTAATCGGTTTGGTTGTAGTTTATTAATTCACATTATAAGTTCGAAACTAATTCTGGCAAAATCCTCAAAGTCACTTCCGTTTTCAAAATTTGGCAGACGGTTTTGCTTTTGAAGCTAAAAATATTAGAATTTTGAATATTTTTCCTAGAAGACTATTCAAAGCTTCAACTGAAGAAATAGAGCTGTTGATATATATTGACACATCAAGGTTTATACAGAAAATTTTAGTTTTAACAGACGATTTTATTAGCTAAGCTTCAAACGTTTGAGACAATATTATGAAGTTCTTGACAACAACGTAGCAGTTAATACATATATATTTGTCTATGGTATACTCATACAAAAAGTGAAGCAAATATATGTTATGGATGAAAGTTTGGTACAAGAAAGATGTCGATGAGCACCAAGCAAATTGAGGAAAAGTTCCTGTCAAAAGAGGAGAAATGCATAATAATATCCTTAAAAATAAACCTTAAACAGCACGTGGAATTACCCAAAATCTCTAAAACTCTTAAATTTAGTGTTTCTTTTAGGAGGTTTTTGTGGGGTGTGTCATAGAATTTTGGCCCTTTTTTTTCAGTGCACAAGCTATTGCCGAATTGGGCGACTAGGGTAAAGAAGTCACTTTCGGATCTGTCTGTCGACATCTAATCACCTGGGGCTGGGTGGTTACAACAGTTGCTTTTGATGGCGATTTTCCATTTTTTCCAGGTTGATAAACCAGCAAGTCTGCATTTATAAGTAAAGAAACCCAGAGACATAAACAATTTACTTTTTAAATATTGTTAAAAATGTGGTGAAAGATTGGTCGTATGTTATGTAAAAGAAACAACTTTTTAAGAAATATTTTCATTTACTTTTCCGGTTCTTGTTACTTGAGAGTTTACAGTCAACTGTACATCAAAACATTTTGGTTTTTCAGCAAATAAGTTTGTTAATTCATTTGAATGAGATGAACATTTCCTAGTGTTCATGTTTCATCCATCTAGTATTGCATTGAAAAAGTTATATTCCTTACCAAATGGCTTGTCAAACATTGTTTATTTTTGTAAAATATTTCTTTGTCCACCAATGAAATATTTATAAAAACCATTGATCGGACATGCACCAACTATGACAGAGATCTTAATTCTTTACAGTTATAAGTCATCATTATTCTTTTTTATGAAGTTCATATTGAGCATAGCAACCCATAGCAGAACCAATAGAAAAAAAAATTCTCACTTTGATGATACTATCAATATTTTAAATAAATATTACAGTAACCCAATTGATACTTAAAATACTTGTTTGAATATGATTGTTAGTTTTCTTCAACTGATGTCTTCATCCATCTTTTTAGGGCCCTATAACTACATGTATAAGGGGTGTTATAGTAGAACCCCTGATCCATTGCCAATAAATTGTGTTTTCCCTATTACTGAACATGCAGAAGAATAGATACTTATCTTAATTAAATATTGCTTTATGGAAGATTTATCTTGTTAATGTTAAAGATTTTTTTTAAGATGGTTTAATGCATGTTTTAAAATATACATGTATGGCTACAATTATGTAATCAATATTGGTGATGTGGGAATCAACATAGTACTATACATTTAACATTTATATTCCTTAACTTCAATACTGCATCAATGGAAAGATGTTAGATACCTTTTCACATGCGCCTGTCCAGTTGTACATAGCACTTGTAGCAAGACAAGATGATCATGGGTAAGTAATACCAAGTTTTTTAATGCTATATGCATGATATGAAGGTAATTCATGCATGAATATGAATATAATCAGGTAAGTTGGTCCAAAGGGCAAGTATTAGAATTAGATGTGGTATGATTGCCAATAGTAGAACTGCACCAGAGAACAAAATATATCTTTAAAGATGTAAGCAACTGAAGTTCACTGTACGCAGTGTACAGCCTTCAATAATGAGCAAAATTCTTTTTAGCTCACCTGGCCCAAAGGGCCAAGTGAGCTTTTCTCATCACTTGGCGTCCGGCGTCGTCTGTCGTCGTCGTTAACTTTTTACATTTTGAACTTCTTCTAGAGAACCACTGAATGGAATGAAACCAAACATGGCATGAATGTTCCTTATGAGGTGCTGACCAAGTGTTGTTACTTTGTAGCCGATCCATCATCCAAGATGGCCGCCAGCGGGGGACTTAGTTTAACATAGGACCCTATGGGAAATGCATACAAATGACTTCTTTCAGAGAACCACTGAATGGAATGAAACCAAACATGGCATGAATGTTCCTTATGAGGTGCTGACCATGTGTTGTTACTTTGTAGCCGATCCATCATCCAAGATGGCCACCAGCGGGGAACTTAGTTTAACATAGGACCCTACGGGAAATACATACAAATGTCTTCTTTTAGTGAACCAGTGAATGGAATGAAACCAAACATGGCATGAATGTTCCTTATGAGGTGCTGACCAAGTTGTATTGTAATAAACGAATAAAACTCTATACTTTGCGTTGTGTTACTTTTATGATCAAAATCTATATCGAAGGCCCCATACAAAGGTACAAATTAACATCATAAACATAAGACGTAAATACGGGAAACATAAAGTTAACATTCTCAACATACTGGGGGGCCGCAAAAGTATATCTTTGTATAAAATTGAAATATTTCTTGAACTGTCCATATATGAAACGAAAAAATATGTTTTAAAATATGATGGGCAATTACTGTCTCTAGAAATCACTATGATAAAATGAAAAATTAGCAGTCTCTATAACGATTTTAAAATCGGACACAAAATTAATGTCTAAGATATTGTCCAAGTTTTAATGTTCTCCTTTGCACGCATAGCTGCCTTTCGCATAGGCACTGTTCTTCTGGTATCAACTTCATTCGTCTCATCTGCTTTATTTGGTAGTTCCTCTTCGTTGATCTCTAGTGGATAAAGTTTGACGATTGGGCGAGTCGTACGGCCACTGTTTGTTCTGATAGTTGCAGATCTGATTAAACCATCATTTCCAACAACTAATTCTTCAACAATTGCTATTTTTCACCGATTTCGAGGTTTGTCGTCATGAACTTGTACAATATCTCCGACCCGGATGTTGATTTTGTTGTCTCCACTCTTTTTATGAAACTCTCTAAGTGCTGTTAAATATTCGGACTTCCAACGGTTCCAAAATTGTTCAATTATAAACGAAAGTCTTTGTGCACGCTTTGAAGCATCAGACGTGTTCATTACGTAAGTTTCATCAATATTATCTATCTCAATTCTCGGATATGGTACAGATGTAATACGACGACCATATAGTAGGTGGGCCGGTGTTAATTGTTCACTGTCATCAATGTCTGTAGATACATAAGTCAATGGTCGATCATTTAAAATCTTTTCAATTTCGGCAATTAACGTTTGCAGTGTCTCCATGTTAATCAATGCACGTCCAAGTATTTTCTTTAAATTCGTTTTAGTTAATGCAATAAGTCTCTCCCACCATCCTCCGAACCACGGGGCTCGGCTAGGGATAAATCTCCACTCGACTCCATGCGTAGATAATGTCTCTTTGATCTTCTGGGATTCACACAGTTGTTTAATCTCTTGTGATGCTGAAATAAAAGATGTAGCGTTGTCTGACATCATAACATGTGGTAAGGATTTTTTACAAGTAAATCTTCTGAATCCTAACAAAAATGATTCTTCTGTCATGTCGGGTACAACCTCTAAATGAACGGCTCTTGTCGATGCACAGGTAAATAAACATATGTATGCTTTAATGAATGTTCCGTTCTTTTCCTTAATATGAAGAGCTCCAGAAAAATCTACACCAGTGACGGTAAACGGTGGGGCTTCTTGAAGTCGTATTTTATGTAACGGAGGAGGGTCTGGTGCCCTGTATGGTTTTCCTATAACTCTTTTACATGTTGTACATCTATATAGTAATTTGCGCGTAAATTGACGCAACGACGGAATCCAAAATGTTTGACGAACTTGTGTAACCGTGGCATTAACTCCAGAATGTAAAACTAGTTCGTGTGAGTTTAATACAATAAGTTCCGATAATCGGTGATTTGGCGGTAAAAGGTAAGGGTGTTTTGCCGATTCGGGTATTGGCGCATTATGAATTCTTCCTTTGCATCTCATTAAATCGTTGTTATCTAAATATAACTGAAGTTGTTGAAGTCGTGGCAATTTAGTTTTCTGTATCTGTTTTAGCTTTAGTGCGCGAACTTCATCTTGGTATGCTATCGCTTGACAACATCGTATCCATAATATTGTTGATTGCTGTAGTTCATCTGGTGTCATTGCTTCAACGTTTCTAAAAGATTTGACTGTTCTACAATTGTGAATAAATCGATGGACAAAGGCTGACACTCGCAAAAGTTTCTTGTATGATCCATAATTGTTAATATCTATAATTCTGTCTATTCCATACTGAATATCATTTTCGCAAGTTTTGCTCTCTTCATCGTCTAATGGTTCTTTGTCGTCGTCGGTAAATACGGATAAAGCTGTATTTATCTCTATAAATGTTTTCGGGTGTTTTGATTTATCACCTATCCAAATCGGTCCTTTTCTCCATAACGTGCTTTCCTTGAACTGTTTCGTAGTCATACCACGTGATAGTAAATCAGCAGGGTTGTAATTTGTCGGGCAATACTTCCATTCACAGTTGTCTGTTAATTTCTTAATTTCATTGATTCTATTTGAAACGAAACGTTTTAATGTTTTGGTAGTCTTTATCCACTGTAATACGATTTGACTATCTGACCATAGTGTAATATTTGAACATTTTAATGTAGTTTGAAGATGACATGCTAAACGGGCTCCTATTACTGCAGCCATTAACTCTAGTTGTGGTAAAGTAAGTTTTTTAAGAGGCGCCACTCTTGTTTTTGCCATTACCAGTGAAGTGTCCTTTTCGTTGTTTAAATACGCAACTGCTCCGTAAGCTTTCATACTTGCGTCCACAAATACATGCAGTACTTTTTGCGATGACTCGCTACTCTCATCAAAATAGTGCCTAGAAAAAGTGGTTTCTGTAGCGGTTTCTATGTCTTGAGCTAAACGGGTCCATTCTGATAGTAACGCATGTGGTAAAATCTCGTCCCAGTCGTAACCTCCTTTCCATAAGTCTTGTATAAGTATCTTAGCTCTAATGCTTACTGGACTCAATAATCCAAGCGGGTCGTATATTTTAGATGATTCCTTCAAAATTTCACGTTTTGTAATACTTTTTTCATCTCCTTGTGCTGGTACGACTGTCCGTTTTGAATACGTAAGTTCATCATTTTCAACGTTCCAGCGCATTCCTAGGATCTTTGTCTGTTTGTCGGTGTCTAATACATCCTCTTTGGCGGCTTGCTGACAAAGTTGTCCATTATTCGAAGTCCATGATCGAAGGTTAAATCCAGCTTTTAGCATCAGTTGTCTTGCTTCTGTGAAGTAATTGATGGCTTCTTTTTCATCAGTAACGCTTGATAAAATGTTATCAACATAAAGGTCTCGCTCAAGTATTTTCGCTGTTGCGGATCCTTCTTTTTGCAGATGTTTAAGTAAAACCAACGGGGGACTTAGTTTAACATAGGACCCTATGGGAAATACATACAAATGTCTTCTCTTAGAGAACCAGTGAATAGAATGAAACCAAACATGGCATGAATGTTCCTTATAAGGTGCTGACCAAGTGTTGTTACTTTGCAGCCGATCCATCATCCAAGATGGCCACCAGTGGGGGACTTAGTTTAACATAGGACCCTACGGGAAATACATACAAAATGTCTTCTTTTAGAGAACCACTGAATGAAATGGAACCAAACATGGCATGAATGTTCCTTATGAGGTGTTGACCAAGTGTTGTTTCTTTTCAGCCGATCCATCATCCAAGATGGCTGCCAGTGGGGGACTTAGTTTAACATAGGACCCTACGGGAAATACATACAAATGTCTTCTTTTAGAGAACCACTGAATTGAATGAAACCAAACATGGCATGAATGTTCCTAATGAGGTGCTGACCAAGTGTTGTTACTTTGTAGTCGGTCCATCATCCAAGATGGCCGACAGCGGGGACTTAGTTTAACATAGGACCCTACGGGAAATACATACAAATGTCTTCTTTTAGAGAACCACTGAATGGAATGGAACCAAACATGGCATGAATGTTCCTTATGAGGTGCTGACCAAGTGTTGTTACTTTGCAGTGGATCCATCATCCAAGATGGCCGCTAGGGGGGGGGGGGCTTAGTCTAACATAGGACCCTATTGGAAATACATACAAATGTCTTCTTTTAGAGTACCACTGAATGGAATGAAACCAAACATGGCATGAATGTTCCTTATGAGGTGCTGACCAAGTGTTGCTACTTTGTTGCCGATTTACTGTTCAAGATGGCCACCAGGATATTTTATTAAATAACGGGACCAATATTAATCCAAATTTGGCCTCAATCATTATTTGGGTATCTGTTATGATTTTTATCTATCTTTACATGATTTCTAAAACCAAAGTAGAGTCAGGTGAGGGACACAGGCTCTTGAGAGCCTCTAGTTTGGTATAGTCAGCTATAAAAGTATCAATCAGGAAACATCCGACTGTCATAAACAGTCTTGAGAAAAAAATGACCTTGTGCAATGTCATACTATTAGTATGTACATAAAGTGTTGACAAGATGTAGGATCATAAATTTTCATACATGTAACTATAGCAATACATATTTAGTTACGGTATATTTAAATTTAACAGAAACAAAATGAATGTAAATACCAATTAAAACTATTTTGAAAAATTTTATGACAGTGTTTATAATAGATAACATTTAAAAAGAAGTTTATTCAAAGGGTCAAAGAGTTTACATGGATCTTTTCTAAATTTATGGGCTCTATTAACAACATCACCCTTAAATTTTAGACATAACATCCCTTTTGTAATAAGAATTCTACAACTTTAAGTACAGCCAATTTCCTTGTATCTATAATAGAATATGAGGGGCAGGGGGGATAGCACATTTGTGATCACTCAACCCTCCAATTACCTAGGACAGTGATGTAAAAAATTCTCCCAGACTAAAGTATCTAAGTGTAAAGACCTTATAAACAGTGTGAAAAAGTAAGCTCTTGTGCAATGCCAAAATATAAGTACATATATAGTATCTACAGGATGTAGGACCACATGTTTTCATAACTGTATAGCAACATATATGCATAGTTCTGTTTATTCACAGTATCACATGTACATAAATATTGCAAATTTTTATGCTGCCTCGCTAGTCATCCAAATTTTATGAAACTCATACTAAATGCTAAGAACCAATACTCGCAGTCAAAGTCTGAACTTGGGCTGTGAGTCACTTATCATTCTAGAGTAATGCCCCTATATAACTCAGAAAATTGCATATTTTATCGTTTCCTCACCCTTACTTAAGTTTGCCTCATGCAAATTTTATGAAACTCTTACACAATGCTAAGAATCACAAAGTCTGAATTTCGGCAGTGAGTCACTTACTGTTCTAGAGTTCTTTATAATTTTAAAAATTGCAAATTTTTTTGATTCTGCACTAATTTAAGTCTGCCTCATGCAAATTTTATGAAACTCATACACAATGCTATGAACCAAAACTCGCAGACAGAGTTCAATTTTGGTCAGCGAGTCATTTTACTGTTCTACTCTAGAGTTATCCCCCTTTATAACTTGGAAAATGGCAATTGTTTTTGTTTCCACACTCTAACTAGCAGTGGCATCATATGCTCTCAAAGAGTATTTTCAAGTATTATAAGCAAGCTTTTGCAGGGGTATTTTTGTCCCTACACACTTTCTTCTTTTATTTTATGTATTATTTATAATGTTGTTTTGGTGATGTAGAATTTTGTGTGGTACATAGTTAATGAATTGTGAGAGTGTCAAGGAAGAATAGTTATTGTATTAATTGAACTCACTCTCTTGAAATAAAGATAACTGTTATTATTATTAACCATTGTTAGTCTTCTGTAGTAGCAAGCACTTGTTGACCTGGCTTTCCAAATTATGTTCTGTTTTATGTTTACTTGATTATTTTTCATTCTGTGTGTACATGTAGGAGGACAGTGCAGGTTTTTCATTGTGTGTTTTACTTTCATGGCAATATGATCAAGATAGGCAACATTTGAGGCTTGTGCTCTGATTAATCTTTTTTACACACAACACATTATATATATGTACCATGTCAGGCTATCTGTACCATGTTATAATGGTTGTTGTTTGTCTTTGTTTGTACATGTATCATGTTTGTCTATTTTCTCCGAAAAGTAATAATAAGGAGATATGGGCTATATGTCAATGAGATATCAACCCAATGACACAAATAACCGAAAGACGAAAGAAAAATTTATCCTGGATATGTACATGTATGATGATGGAGATGATTAGAGATATGAAATTTTAAATATAATTCAAAAGTAACTTTATACCACATCAGTTGTAATAGTGGAGCTAGATTTATATGATTTTCTGGTTTAACTGGTCAAGGTTATTAGAAATTTATATGATTTTATGGTTTAAATGGTCAAGGTTATATAAGAAATTTATATGATTTACTGGTTTAACTGGTCAAGGTAATAAGAATTTATATGATTTTCTTGTATAACTGGTCAAGGTTATATAAGAAATTTATATGATTTTGTACATTTAGTTTAACTGGTCATGATTGTAAGAAATTTATATGATTTTCTAGTTTAACTGGTCATGGTTATAAGAAATTTCTATGATTTTCTGGTTTAACTGGTCAAGTTTATAAGAGATTTCTATGATTTTCTGGTTTATCTGGTCAAGGTTATAAGAAATTTCTGTGATTTTCTGGTTTATCTGGTCAAGGTTATAAGATTGGAAAACTGATGTTATGTCTTATGAATTGACATTCAGATTCGATGCAGTCTTTAATGACAAAGTGTTTCATGCTGTGTGTATTGATCTTTTATCCTACACTTACTATAGTAATTATAAACCAGCTGTTGATTATTATGAGTTGCTAGACGTTTTTGTTTACATTTAAAGGTAAAATGTATTATAGGTACACTTGGTAACATATCAGTTTACAAGTACATGTAAAAAACAGTTAAATACGCATTTAAAAAAAAAATTGTACAGAATGAGGAAATTTACAATTTGACTGTAAAACTACTACAAGTGATTTCAGTGTCACTTATTAAGTTATGGGATAAAAATTGAAATGGTATCATAATTTGAAACCACTTCTTTTAAATCACTTAAATAATTAATTTTAGAAGTAAAGTTATAAATACTGGTAAGTGATCTTAACACTTTTCTTGATTTTTCCTCATGCCTAATCTTTTTACATCTCAAAAAAGGATTACATTGAAAAAATAACATGTTGAAAGGTTTTGATCTTTATATTTATTGTTTTTTTTATATGTTTATTTGAATTAAGCATAAGGCAATCTGAAGCCAAACTGATGAGTATGTGTTAATCCATGTTACTATAAATTACCAATTATTAGGGCTGGACATCTTTTGTGGTTGACAGGTTATGGTAAGTTTGAACATCAAGTAAATCTTACACTACAATAAATTGATTATCCAGGAAATATCCCATGGAGTTAATTGTTCATAGTTGGTTAGAGTCTTCATTCATCATTATTGGCTGGTTTTATGGGGAACAGATTTAAATAAAGCTTTAAAGTTAGTTCAAAGTATGGCCATATCTACAAATCCTGTCTTTTCTATTTTTCGAGTAACACTTGGAATGAATTGATAAAAGTTACTTTAAAGTATGGCCATATCTACAAATCCTGTTTTTTCTATTTTTGGGGTAACACTTGAAATGAATGGATAAAAGTTAGTTCAAAGTATGGCCATATCTACAAATCCTGTCTTTTCCATTTTTGGGATTACACTTGGAGTGAATGGATGATTGTATGAGTGTTTAACCCTAATGAGGTGTAATTTGAAAAAAAAACCCAAATCTATAGCTTAATAGTCTGGATGAAAAACCATATAAAAGTTGTAAGTCCTGTTCCCTGTATATCTTTAGTTTGGAGTTAATTGATGATTATTGATTTATGTGTTCTTCCCAAAACCAGATAGTTGTGAGGGTTTACAACTCTCAGAAGATGTCTATAAACTGAACAATTTGGATTTCAAGCTTTTCAAAAGGTCAAGATTACAAACTTAATTGGTCTCCATCTAAGAATTATTGCAGTTATATGAAAGTTTAGTCTATTCTGTTACCAATATTTAAAAACAAAAATATTCTAAAAATAGGAATGGATTGATGGCACATGATAGTCTGAGATATGTATTTACCTGATTAAAATGTACATCAGGTATTTCGTGGAAAATATTATATGGTGTTATTTGTTTTTCAGATTATTTATTTTTAGTGTGAATAAATTCCCAAATCCTTCTATAGATGACCTAGATATAGATAAAGTTGTACCTGTAGATGCAGACTTAAGGACAGTTTCAGGTAATATTATAATGTATCTCAGAAACAATATTGAGATTGTATGGCAAGATAGTGTTATACTATAACAATAGTTTTCAACTTGACAGAATGCCACATAAAATGCTGTAAATAAATCAAAATTCCCCCCCAAAACAGCTTGTTAACTATGCACTACAACTAGTAATACTGTAAATTCAGAAAATGATTTTGCAAAGTTTTTATTATTGCGAAATTGCCATAGGATAGATTTTTTAGAAATGAAAGCTTGTATTTTGAATTTTGACAGCATTACTTTTATGCAACATTTCCTGGTATTGCAAAAATTTATCTTGAATTTTTATCAGTTGGACAACAATCCCAATAATAAATGCACGTAACAATCTATGAATTTAAGGTTATAGAGCACAACATGTTTTGTAATCTTTCATTAGAGAGTTAAAGGTATGTTGGTCATGTTGGATAATTTACAGTGTCCGTGATGCATATTTTTTTAGACAGACTGGGTTTTATCTAAACTTAATTATCAAAAGTACACTGCTTAAAATGTCATTCTTTTAACTGTCACTAATGTTCTTTAACTATAAGCTACACAAATGCGTTTTATTTCTGAATTTTTTTTTTTGCCATAGCAAGTTCTTAGCTTTTGTTATATCCTTGAAAGAAAACCACTTCAAATCAACTGATGATCAAGCTATTTATTGTACAGAAAAGCTATTGTTTCAGACTTAACATGAAACCTGAAAATTGGTTCTCTGTTTTAACTCTTTAATAATTACATAATTATTTTTCAGAGGTTCCAGACATTAGCCAACAGAAAGGTACAGTAGAAAATGAGTATTATTTTGATTAGTACATTTTAAATGTTGATTAAGGATAAATTTGTTATCAAATGAAAATGTATCAGTTTTTAATTTGTTTGTGATAATAATTGAGATGTGTATAATTTCTCACTTTAGCTATGAAACACTGATTTACTGAAAAGAGGACCCCTGAAATTGAAAAAAAATATTGAAATTGAATTTCAAAAGTATGTAAAGTTTATTGATAAATGAACAGGTACATATAATCTGGTCAATTTAGTGCAGAAAAGTCATTTGTGCTGACACCATAAACATTGAAATTGACATATTTGACCAAATATGGCAATTTTGCACATAGTTTTAGACTAAATAGATTGAGCAAAGCCTTTACCCAAAAAGATATTTTTCACACATTGACATGTTTTTAAATGCATTTTGTAGCAAAATATAATAATAAAAATTTATTCTTTTAGAATTTTTTGTCTTGCATTTGAAATCCAAATTTATAAATGCACAGCTTGTACTACCAGACCACACATCAACAGCAGCATTTCTGGAAGAATTAAGTAGAGCTCAATCAGGTAAATGAAGGGCATGGATTTGTCATTTTATTTTATATTAATTTGTGGTCAGAAAATAAACCAAACAATCCAATCCACTCAAGCATGCCAATCCATCAGCTAAAAACTGTCACATGCTTATAAATGTAGGTTTATTGCTTTGAACAGGCAAAATTATTTTATGAATTTGAAATGAAAAATGAAGTTTGCAGTCCATTTCAACTTATGCCAATTAAGAAATTACTTTTAAGTTTACCTATTTTATTGTAAATGACTTATTTAAGGTGTGAAATCAAGCATATTAAAGATTAAGACTATAAATTATACATTTACAAACTACATTTTGTCATTGCAGAATACGAGACATAAGGATCATGTTTCGTTGATTGATGTTAAATTTCATGACACATTTCATTCAGTAATGATTATTAAAACAATATACATTTCAATGTGTAAATTCCTATTATTTCTCACACAAAGGACAATTGTTTTTTTGTTCTATCATACTGTCTAGAATAAGTTCCATTTTTTTTCATCAGAGTATTCTCTGTCACAATTATCAAACAAAACAAGTAATTAATTTTTAATCAATAATACAGTCCCTTATATTATTTCAGTGTTTCTTCTAGAGGTTTACTGTCATCAGTAATTTTGTGGCTGGTTTAAGAGGAATTTTTCAAACACAACTCTATATGAGTTGTGAAAAGTTTTTTGGCATTTATATAATTTTATCATAAAAACATGACACATGTGGTCTCAATCTTTTATGCTGTTATATTACACTCACAATTAGAAAGTCACTCATAATGAATATTTTCATAATCAAAAGCTAAAATTTCTAAAAACCTTAATGGTACAGTGTTTAGATATGGCTGCTCTACAATATATTTACAAGCTTTGACGAATATCAAGATAGTAGTATATTTATTGTATGTTTTGTATTGATTGTTCAATTTCAGTGTATTCTAACATAGTAGCATTTGGTAATCCTCCATCTTTTGCTTGGTTAGAGAATTACAATAGACAAAACGACAATCCATTTGCCAAGGATGTGTTTGATCCTTTTGTAAAAAATAACCAAGTGAAAAAGGCAGAAGGTTTGTCGATGTTGTGGTGTGTGTAGTCACTCTGGCTTCTACTAATTAGAGTTATTGCCCTTTACTTTTTTCTTGGTAGTCTGGCTTTTATATTATCATGCATCTATAGGGTTATTCCATGTTTACTAAAATAATTGATAAAGTTGTATTTAAATAAGCAGTTTTCATATATCATTCAGTATATATATATATATATATATATATATGGCCATGATCACTGTTCAAATTATTGCATGTTGTAAAAAAAAGTCTGACATCATGAATGATTTTTTTTAAGTTTTAGTTATGTACATTTATTAGGTTAACACCAGCAAAATGAATGGTACTAACTTCACTTTTGTTGTTGTATGCAATAATATATATTCACTTAATCAAAGTTTACATCAAGATTTATTGTCTCAAACTGATAAGAATTGGTACAAAATTACAAAGAGTTCTTGGTTTATGAATTGCCTTTTTCTAAAAAAAAATTGTTCATCAGTTTTTAGCTGTTAAGTTATAGCCTGATTTTATTCTTGCTTCCAGTACATTTTTATCTGTTTAACTCATGTGGCAGTATCATGCTGGAAATATTATTTTTCAATGACTTTAGATACAGCTCAAACTTTTTTAACTTTAGTTTTTGCGATGAAAAAATCTGTCTTTTTTTCACTTTTACTGTTAAGGACATGTGATCCTTGATAGATTAGAAAATAGGCACAGAATGTGGTAGGTCAGACAAACCTGAAAGTGCCCTACATTAGAATTAATTTTCATTTGAACTAGCTGCCCTTTCAAGTTCAACAATGGTAACCTCCAAAATTCACTTTCTGTTAATGATTCATATATTTAAAAAAAAATGATATCCAATTATTTTGTTCATTTAAAGAGATTTCAATGAAATGCTGTGTGATACAAAAATGAATGAATTCTCGTTCATTTGACATATGTTTGAAGGAAAATTTAGACAATACACAGTATTTTCAATCATTTGCCTCATATATAATCATAAAAAGTCCATAACTGAAAACTATTTTAGGTTTAAACCTACCTAGTTTAATCTTATTAATATTTTTAATATTTAGTTGCAACATTGCAAAGTGAGAAAAGCATGACCAGGTATTTTAGAGGTAATAAACCTTAACCATTGTGGGCAACATGAGGTTTTTAAGCTTCCTTCAAGCTTTAGTTTATAAATGCTATAATATATTCCTTAAATATTGAATATCTTACATAACTATTTCATTAAATATTTTTACATTTCCTAATCAGTTCGCTTCCCTTTTTTACTGCATTTTTTTTACTAGAAAAAATTTGGAGATCATTCTGTTTGCAATTTAACCAGCATAAATCAATCTTCTTTTTACATTGATAAAAATGCTTATGCATTAGTTTTGACTTATTTTGCAATGTTACTGTACACATTTCTGTATGGAGTTGGTAATATCTGATGAATGTATAAAATATAGGAGGAAAGAAGCATGGATACAGTATTATTTTTTAGTCAAGCTAATTTGGAATAACCCTATGCAAGCTAATTTATTAATACTATTTATAATGGTGTCAGTCTTAGTTATTTTTTAGAATTCTTATTAATATAGATAGATTTTGTCTGCAAACTTGGAAATTGCTAATTGCTATAGTATATAGCAGGATTTGAAAAAGGAAAAATGTGTGCATACTAATTCTTGATGTTGAGAGACAAGAGTGCCACACTCTCAGTATGATAAAAAAAAAATCGACTCTTTTTAAAGGTCCAGGGTGACTCTACCAAAAGCAAATTTCTGAGCCTGCACAACTTGCCATAATTTTCTGGTTGTTCTCAAAACTTCCCTATCTTTGGGAATTACCCACTTTTCAGAACCTCTCAGACTAATTTACTGTATAATTTTTTCTAGTTCTGTTCATGCATGAAATATTTCCACCTCTCATCACTTATGGCCAACGGATCACAACCAAACTTTTACAAATTCATCCCTGTTTAGTGTAGTAATGCATACTGAAATATTTTTCTTAAATTGATATAATAGTGATGATCCAATCAGCAATTATAATAAAAAAAATGATCGATTATTTAAAAATATTGATTAATTGATTATAATTTCTAATAATCAATAAGAGTAAAGAAATTCACAAAAGTTTATTTTTTTAACCAAAACTTTCACACCTACCTGTAAATGTAAGGAATGCCTTAAAACACCAATAAAAAATATACACACTTTTTTGGTGAGTAATTCAATATTTCAGTACTGTATGTGACATGTAAATTATTACATTAAGGAAAAGTGTGTCACTAAATTCCTACTTTATTTGCATATAAGCGAAAAATTGAAAACTGAATCAGAGCATGCTGTCCAATTATTCTGAATAATCAATTCTAATCTATCAGGCAATTCCCAGTGCTAATTTTTCAGAGATCAGACATCAATTCAGATGGTCTTATTGTACCATGCCTAAATTCACAGTGTTATGATATATTATAAAGTTTTATTTTAGTAAAAGTGTTTAACTTTAGATCTGACATCTTTTTCATGGAAATCTTCGTCTTACTAAACAAATGTTATTGTTTTGCCATTTGCTGTTGCAATATTAACATCTTTTGTGTTGTTGTAATTTATTGAATTGTTTTAACCCTTATTTTCAGAATGCAGATCTTGTTTAGCACATACTAATACCTTTTCACCTAAAGCATATACCTACAGCTCAATATTTAATGTTGTTTCAGGTAATCATTGGAATGGAGTAATGTCCTTTCCTAAACAGTTACATTCCTTTCATACAAATATTACAATTTATTTAAAAATTTAAAGATGTTGTTGACTGTTTTGTTTCAATTATTTTTAGCATGAGACATGAGATTGATTAATGTTTTTAAGTTGATATAAGTTAACAGCTGTGATGTGATACATTTTCCAATGAAAAAAAATTCCACTAAACTATATAAATAGTACAACTTATTCTTTAAGAATTTAAGCTGTATTTTAGTTTTGCTGTTTAAAAATAGTCTTTCATAATTTGTGAAGAATATTAATCTATTTATTGATATCTCATTTTGATACAAATATTAAATTTTTCACACAATTTTGTCTGTTTTTGGTGTTGATGAACTATTAGCATTAGATTCTTTCATCATGAGAACATTCTTTGTTTATTTCATCTTCTTTTTTTAATGTGTTGATTTTTTAAAGTTTTCGGAGATTGCATTCTATATTCTATATTCTTTAGTTAACTACAAATTGCACTTCTTCTGTTCCAAAGAAATACTGGTACCTATTTAAAACAAGAAATACTGGTACCTATTTAAAACGAGTCTAAAAGCAGAACAGTGTGAACATTTCTTTTCATATTTAGCCATGGATATGTTTAAACAATAAAATAAATTATATGTTATATCTTTGTAATGGTTATAGACGCTTGAAGTTCATTTTTACCATTGGCTTTTGAACTGCTGTTGTGCAAGTGAGTGTACTTCTGATAGTTTGAAAAAATATTGAAGAAAACTGAATTGTAGATTTAAACTGAAGTCTTCTTTACACACTTCCAGGCTATATGTATTCTTTACTGTAAATTCAGAAATTATTTCCAGATTTTAAATAATACAAATAATGCGACTGGGTGAGTATTGCAATAATAAGAACTTGAATTCTGACATCCCATACATATACATGTATGCAGATTTTCTTGAAATCGCAATAATTAATCCTGCATTTTTGCCCTTTTTTTTTTAAATCGCAATAATAATTTCACACAATAATTGCTGAATTTACAGTTTGTGACAAATGTTTTTGTAATTAGTTTTAAAGTTATACGGAATAGGCTAGATCGATAAAGACCTATCACAAATTTTGAATTCAATTGTAAAACTTTTTACTACTTTATATCTGTTCAAGACAAATGTATAGTGTTCTGTGAAACTTTTTATATTTCCTTTATGTTTTATGTTCAAGTTACATAGAAAAAAATAGTTGAAAGCTACATACGTCCAAGGCATTCCTGATACATTTTTCTTGTGAAATTGCTTTTTAAAAATGTATAAGCATATTTCAAATAAAACCATGTTTGTGAAATGTGTTATTGACTCCTTTTTAGCACTGACAAAGCCTCATAGTTTACCAGTAGCGCCACCTAGGAGGATGAGAGCTGTAATTATTAGAAATGGACAGAGTTTGCCTCCTCCTGTACCGGAGAGACCAAGGAACATGAAAGAGCCAATGTCACAGAGAATTACAGACCTGTCCGAGTTAGATCCTCTGAGAAAGACGGCCAGTAAACAGTCCTTAGATGAGTTAGATCTTGATGAGTATGTTATTTTTAATTCTAGGGGCACCTCTCCCATTTAGTTTTGAAGGGTCATGATCTGGTGGAATAAAAAAAAAAACTAGGGTTAAAACAATTTCAACCAATAAATAAACTCATCATAGATACAAGGATTGAAAATTTTGTACGCTGGACACGTGTTTTGTCTACAAAAGACTCATCAGTGACGCTCGAATCAAAAAAGTTAAAAAGGCCAAATAAAGTACGAAGTTGGAGAGCATTGAGGACCCAAAATTCCTAAAAGTTTTGCCAAATACAGCTAAGGTAATCTATTCCTTGGGTAGAAAAGCCTTAGCATTTCGGAAATCCAAAGTTTTGTAAACAGTTAATTTATAGTTATGACCATATCAATGATAATTCATGTCAACACAGAAGTGCTGACTACTGTGCTGGTGATACCCTCGGGAAGAAAAACTCCACCAGCAGTGGCATCGACCCAGTGGTTGTAAATAAACACATCATAGATTGAAATTTTGTACGCCAAACACACGTTTCGTCTACAAAAGACTCATCAGTGACGCTCGATCCAAAAAAGTTAAAAAGGCCAAATAAAGTATGAAGTTGAGGAACATTGTGGACCCAAAATAAAACTAGACTGAAACTACTAAACTATTTTACAAAGCTAACAAATATGATTGGTTAAATATCTTCTTCATTTTAAGAATTTCATTTTGTATTTTAATCAATTAACTTCTGATCTTTTCATTCTTATTATCTCTTTTTGCAAGTTTTGATTAACCAGATAAGTCGTTTTCTTTTAAATATTATCAATGATATTATAAATGTATTATAACCATATGTAATTTGTTCATCAGTATGACCATATGACTTCCTGTAATGAACAGGTTGATGATTAAATATTCTGTAACAGCTGTTTAAGAAAATACAACTTCAAAATATACCTGGTCAGACAAGGTGATATAAGGTCATGAACAAATCCAAAAACATACAGGTCAAATGTTTTAAGGGAATACAGTGATAACAATATATAATTAGAAGGGAACAATATATATAGCTATGGATTGGAGTAATTTGATTTTACCTGGTCAGGTATATATAAAAAATTCATGAAACACATGTTTTATGAAGCACTTACCACTTTATTTAGAAAGATACATTTGACACTGTTGTATTGGTAATTTTTTACTTTATTTCGATAGCTTCACTGGAAGTAGTGAATTTCCAGATGTCCAGAAAATGTTGGGACTTGGTTCCTCAGAATTCTCAACTGAATCTGGTGGTAAACCAGTGACTGCTAGAGAGACAATAGTCAAACATATGATGAATGACAGGGAGGTTGAGTTTACAGATATATCAAAATTAAAGTAAGTTTATACAGAATATTTTTAAATTATATTTCTGAATAGCATTTTCTATTTCTGATTTTAACTTTTACTATAGCAATAACCCCATTAATAGTCATGATAGCCTTAAGTCTTTTGTAGAAGTCTGTGTTTACCTACTATGTAGACCAATAAAGTCCATTCCTAAATTTGTTAGACACATCTTCAAAGTACATATAATCATTTACCAAAACAATGTTCTACAGCTTTAAAGATTAAGTTTTTCATTGAGCATTCTACTCGATAAAAAGTTACCATAGTAGAGGTCTGTCCATTGAATTATGACAACCTCAATTACTGTAAATTAATATTTACAGAAACTTTTTTTATCATTTAGATAATTTTCTTGTAGAGATATTCTTTTCCAGTATTCATAGTTTTGTTATTCGAAAGATTACAGGGTCTTATCTGAATTATCTATTTTTTAGAATATTTGTTGGAACTTGGAATACAAATGGCCAGTCCCCGCCCATATCGATAGCTCAGTGGTTACAAGTAGACCCAGAACCTCCAGATATTTATGCTATAGGGTAAGAAAATATAAAAAGCATCTTTAGAATAGAAAACAGTTATAGAAAACATACATTGAACATAAAAAATGAGGCTGCATTGTATACATAAATGTTACTTTTTTCATTTAATGATTATACCTCTGCTCCAACTTAGTGGGCAAATACTTATTTATCTCTGTCTATATGTCAGTCAGTCAGTCCATCTGTCCATAACACAGTTTTGATGCAATTTTCTAAGGAACTAATGAACAGATCTTAATATTACATACCAATCTTCATATTGGTAAGCTATAAACTGTGAAACTTTTTCAGGTCTGTCACTTATCTACTTCCTGTTTGCCAGATACATGTTCATTACATTAATGCATATATAAAACAATTTGTTGTATTTTTCTAACAGACGATCTATTTGCATGTGTTCTTAGTGGATTAGTTTTAAGTTTGCTTATTTGGTAGGTGGACCATGAATTCTTTATCACTTATTGTAAACATAGTAACAAACTAGTTATATTTATATTGACAGGTTTCAAGAGCTGGATTTGAGCAATCAAGCACATATATTTAGTGATTCGCCAAAAGAAAGTGAATGGCAACATGCTGTAAAGAATTGTTTACATCCAAAAGGAAGATATAGAAAGGTGATTTTTTTTATTCAGCTTTATAAATTGTTACCTGGGTCACCAGAGTATAAATTCCTACATGTGTCACCAGAGTAAAAATTCTTACATGGGTCACCAGAGTATAAATTCTTACCTGGGTCACCAGAGTATAAATTCTTACATGTGTCATCAGAGTATAAGTTCTTACTGTCATCAGAGTATAAGTTCTTACCTGTGTCATCAGAGTATAAATTCTTACCTGTGTCACCAGAGTATAAATTCTTACCTGTGCCACCATGGTATGAGTTATTACATGTGTCACCAGAGTGTAAATTCTTACCTGTGTCACCAGAGTATAAGTTCTTTCCTGTGTCACCAGAGTATAAATTCTAACCTGTGTCACCAGAGTATAAATTCTTACCTGTGCCAACATGGTATGAGTTATTACATGTGTCACCAGAGTGTAAATTCTTAACTGTGTCACCAGAATATACACTCTTACCTGTGACTCCAGAGTATAAATTCTTACCTTGGTCACCAGAGTATAAATTCTCACCTGTATCACCAGAGTATAAGTTCTTTCCTGTGTCACCAGAGTATAAATTCTTACCTGTGTCACCAGAATATAGATTCTTACCTGTGTCACCAGAGTATACACTCTTACCTGTGTCTCCAGAGTATAAATTCTTACCTGTGTCACCAGAGTATAAATTCTTACCTGTGTCACCAGAGTATAAATTCTAACCTGTGTCACCAGAGTATAAATTCTTACCTGTGTCACCAGAGTATACACTCTTACCTGTGTCTCCAGAGTATAAATTCTTAGCTTGGTCACCAGAGTATAAATTCTCACCTGTATCACCAGAGTATAAGTTCTTACCTGTGTCACCACAGCATGTCAGGCTGAAACACATGGAGTGTACCTTGTTTGTGTCATCCCTAACTCCAACAGATTTCCTTCAACACCATTCAAACTTTGCACAGTCATTGCAAACAGAATGAAGATATATTCCCCTTTTATTTGGATAGATTTGAGTAAATTTTTCTAAAGTTTCCCATGCGTGTAGTCATTTTGCACATTGAATGCTTTAGAAGTTACATAGTTTGTGTCATCTTAAACCCCAACAGTTTACGTTCAACATTATTCAAACTTTGCAAAGTGATTTTGGGACAGAAAAGAATATTTTCTTCCCTCCTAACTTTGAATGCCATAATGCAGTAAACTTAAATCACATTCTACTCCAGAATAGCCATTTTTCTCATATTTAACTAACCTTTGAAATTATGGACAGCTTTAAAACAATATTGTTTGTAGAGGCTGTAATATTACTTGTTATTTACAATTGCAAACAAATATGTGGTCAGTGATACGATTTTCAATACATGTAAAAAATTTAACACCAAAATTATTACACAAATGACATTCTGTATAAATTTTGGGAACAATACAAGCCAAATATTTGCAATAAAATAGGTTTTGAGTACAATACTACATATCTGACTTCAATAAAATGCACAATTAATGGCAAATATAAATTTGCAATCAAATTCAGGTATTTTAAAGCATGCTAAAACTTTGAAATATTTAAACATTCTTATACTAATGATACACTTATAAAATTACATAATAATAAAAATAGTATTGCTTACAGCGTGGTTGGTTGAAATAACAACAAATAATATTTAGACTTCTCAAACAAGAAAACGTGTTCATAATTCACCATGCAAGGGAGATAATTGAAAAAATGTGGCAAACCTCAATAACATTACAGAATAACTTGAGGTTCTTTTTCAACCTATGATTACTGTGTGTCCTATTCTCCTCTGTTGAAAGCTTCAGTGTTGAGTTCTTAAACTTTTTATCAAATTGTTGTGTTTTTGTCTTGTCTACGACCTAAGACATAGAGATTACAATCCGGTGGCAATGACGGCGTAACCTATTTGTATAAAGCTTTATATTTCAGAAGGTAGAAGACCTGGATACTTTATACCTTGTAAGATACCTTTTGTTACAAAGTTTCTGTCTGTCATATGTCCATTGTCCTTGACCTCATTTTCATGCTTCAGTGATTCTCTTATTATGAGTAATAGGATAACTATATTTGGTATATTGGTTCCTTGCAAGGTCAACATGTCCGTCAGGTAGGGTTCAACTGACCTCAATCTCATTTCATGGATCAGTGATCAAGGTTAAAGTTACTTGGTCAAGTCAATATCTCAAATGCTATAAGTAGTAGGGCAACTATATTTGGTGTATGAATGATTGTAAGATGTACATATCGACTGACAGGTTTCATCTGACCTTGACCTAAATTTCATGGTTTATGCATAATGTTTAGTTTTTGTGGTTTGGTCTATGTCTCAGATACTATAAGCAATAGGGCCACTTTAGCTGGTGTATGGAATGATTGTAAGGTGTACATGTACGACTGGCAAGTGTCATCTGATCTTGACCTCATTTTCATGGTTCATTGGATAATGTTTAGTTTTTGTGATTTAGTCTATTTCTCAGATACTATAAGCAATAGGTTAAGTATATTTGTTGTATGGAATCAGTGTTCTCCTTTTTTCACTAAGGTAAGGTGGGTGTTTTGAAAAAACCACTTGCAACCAGGTGTTTTGTTTTTTTTAAACATTTCCAACCGTTTTTTTTTTACTGTGGGTGGGGGTCACAAAAAAAAAGGATTAGTTTTGTATTCACATTTAATGAAATTGAACAAAAATAAATAGATGTAGTCACATAAACTGTCAAATATTCTTCTTTGATTTGATTTTTTTCAATAATTTATCCTTTTTTTCTCTTCTTTTGTTCACTTAAGTTATTTGTTTCTTTGTCCACACTTTTTGATACTATTTATCAAAATATGTCTCTTTCTTAAATTTCCCCAGATTTTAAATGCTTCCTCAAAATTGTGACGATTAGCCATTTAAAGTCCTGTTCATATTTATCTTCGCTTGCGTGCCTTTTCCGTTGTTTTGATGCTTTTTTTTCAATTTCAACGATTCCAATACAACTATCCGTTTTAGTTGACTTATTTTGGCGTCGAATTTTCTTTATCACCATCACCATCTGCCTTTCTCTTCCCCCGATTAATAAAAGAAAACATTGAAATTTGACGATCTGCCATTTTTGTCAATGAAAACAACTCAGCGAGGCGGGATTAGTATTTAAGTTTTTACGGTGCGGAACCGAAAAAAAAATCCTGAATTTGAAAAAAAAGCTGACCATTCCTTAAATGGAAAGGTGGTCAGCTTTTAAAAGAAGGTGGTCGGCACACCCGGCTTAAATGCCGAATGGAAAAATCTGATGGAATAATTGTAAGGTGTACATGTCTGTCTGGTAGGTGTCATTTGTCCTTGACCTCATTTTAATGGTTCATTGGTCAATGATAGATTTTTGTGGCTATGTCAGTTTACCAGTTACTATAAGCAATAGATCAAATAAATTTGGTGTATGGAATGATTGTCAGGTGTACATGGCTGTCTGCCAGGGTTCATATTACAGTGACCTCATTTTCATGGTTCATTGGTCAGTGTTAAAAGATTTTGTGGGTTTGTCTTTTTCTCAGGTACTCCAAGGGATAGGGCCACTATATTTGATGTATGGAATGATTGTTAGGTGCACATGTCTGTCTGGCATGGTTCAACTGACTGTGACTTCATTTTCATGGTTCATTGATACATGTAATGTTATGTTATGTGATACTTGTAGTAAAAACTTCATATTACAGAAATTCAATCATAAGTAAAGTAGGCAAGACATTTTAGCTTGTGCACTCTTGTTTATCAGTTGTATCTCATTTACAGCTACACAATATTCCATTTTTTAAAGGCAGTGCTTTAATGCCTTTCTAGTTGCCGTGTTAATATTTCTTTCCGCGATATCCAACTTATCTACGTGGGGGGTCATTTAGCTCCAAGTAGATCCGGAAAATGTTGATTCTCTCCTCTTCTTATTGTGGTATAAAATGTTTTTTGTCTCATTTCATTTACATTGGGAAATAGAGAAACGATCATTGTGTTTTGTTAGTTTTAAAAACTTTTGATATATTTGTATTTTACATTATAAGCAGTCAACCGATTGACAAACTAGAATTATTTGAATTCCGTGTGGAAAGAGCTCGGGTTAATTTCGAGTGTTTTCTGCAATCTAGATGTTTATAAATCATTTCAGTCGTTGATATAATAATTAAAGGTCGACTGAACATGAATTATATTATACAATTTAAAGCGCATTTCTGTTTATGCACGCGAACCCGTCTAACGTTATTGTTATTTCGCAGTTATATAAAGTAGCAAATTATCGTTCCTGAATAGGTGGCGCCGTTGTAGCCGATCCTGTACTTCAACTTCCGGTTTCTGCACTGTGCAACTATTACAGTTGCATTTTTAATTAACGATGCCAAGTACTTGTTGTTGTGTACCTGGATGTCATTTAAGAGGAGGACATGCATTTCCAAATGACTTAAAAAGAAGGAAAAGTTGGATCAACGCCATGGCCCATACGCAGATTGGACGAGAACACGATGAAATCGTGGAGTCCATCTCAATCAGCTGTTGTTTGCAAGGCACATTTTACTGAAAAAGACTACGTGCAGGAAACTATTCATGGTAAAATTCTATTTTCCTTTTAAAATATATAGTTATATATGTAATCGCCATGCGAATAAACCAAAGTCAGTTTACAACTCAATTATCGTTGTAGAATAAAAGGGGGTGGTTAATTCAAGACGTCATAATTTTTTGGATTACGATTCAATGTGATCTGTTTGAGATTTTTTGGTGCTTGCTACAATTATAATGATTTCTTACAAGAGGTATATCATACTGAGAATTATTTTAGCAGTAATTATGCTTATGTAGTAATGACAGGAATGCATAAGCTATGCCTCATAGACTTTCTTGAAAAATATCAATGACAATGTTAACAGGAACAAAACAATGACATGCTCTCATCTATATTATAGTTATTTAGGTACAAACAATGTATGTTTGTTGCATACGTCTCTCATTGTTTGTCCTTTGGATTTACATAACAT